GCTGAAGAAGAGATTTGGGGTAGGGCAAGGCTGAGGGCAGTGGGTTGCGGGGAGCAGGGGGACTGTGGGGGAGGCTGTTGGAATGGGGGCAGGGACTGAGGGCAGTGGGTTCGGGGTGGGAGGTACAGGGGGAACAGGGTCAGGGTGGGGGCTGAGGGCAATGGGTCGGGTGAAATGATCGGGGGGAGGGACTGTGGGGGAGGCAGAGGGAACAGGGTCGGGGGGCTGAGGGCAGTTGGTTGAGGGTGGGGGTACAGGGGGGACTGCGGGGGAGGCTGAGGGAACAGGGTAAGGGTGGGGCCTGAGGGCAGTGGGTCTGAGGGGAGCCCCCCCAGAGGGACCTGCCAGGGGGCCAGGTGAGCCCAGCAGAGCTTACCTGGAGCGGCTCCCAGGAAGCATCCAGCAGGCAGGTCCCTCCCAGTCCCTCTGGCCCCTTCCTAGGGTCGGGTCGAGGGGAGGGGGGCAGGGGTGGGGGGGGCTCTCTGCCTGGCGGCCGCTGCCTACTGCCGGAGTCTACAGGCCCCGCCCCGCTGCAGCACGCAGGGGAGTGAGACCTCCCTGCCTCTCTGTGTGCCGGGGCAGGGGCAGGGCTGCGCTCTGCAGGCTCCTGCCGGCCGGGCGGGGGGCCCCGTGGGCTGACACCGCCGTGCCGGGAGCTCAGCTGCGCGCTGCCCCAGGGCCCAGGGAGGGAAGGTGAGCGGCGCCGGCGGTGCCGGCTTGCCACGGTTCCCCCAGCGCGGCTGCCCTGTCAGCGCTTTTGGGTCTTTAAATAGCCGTCCGGGGGAAATCCCGGACATTTTTAGCTTTTTACAAATTCCCCCCGGACGGCTATTTGAAGACCCAAAAGCCGGACATGTCCAGGGAAACCCAGACATATGGTAACCCTAGCATAGGCTGCACAAGCCCACCTGATGCCAGGGGTACGTACGCACTTGTACAGCCTGCACTGCAGCATTCTCACTGTGAATGTTAGCACGCTAGCTAGGTTACAGCTAGCACAGGGATGTCTACATGAGGTGCAAATCACACCACTGGCTGCACTGTAGAGGTACACTGAGTCAGGGGCACGGAAGTGGCTGGAATCAGAACCTTTAACCTGACCTAAATTTCATGGCTTGCTCTTCTCTGTACAAAGGGCCAAATCAGAACTTGGATCAGACACCTCCTTTGTCCACTGCAAACGTTGCAGGGTTCAGAAACTAAACCAAGATTCAGATTCTTATTTCACTGCTTACCTTCCAAACTGGAGTAAACCAAACTCTGGAGTCAAAACCCCTGGAGCTTTAGAGGCTTTCTTAATCCTCATCCAAATGTCATCACTTGGGTCCATAATTAGCTGATACACACACATACAATGCCCATTAGCTACTATATATAAAGTTGCACCCCTTAAACTTATAAAGAACACAGGAAAAGGGATAGAATCAGACCTTCTGGCAAAGTCCTCCCATCGAAAAATGTGACTGGTTGGTTGAGTTGTCGATACACTTGAGGTACCGGAGGGTAAAGGCGGAGGCTCTCTTTAATGCACATGGTGGTGTAGGGCATATTACTAAGGTCATTCCTGAAAAGAAACCAAAGATATGTCTGAACATGGGAACCTCCTCCCCAATGCAGAAATACAAGGCTGCCTGCACAACCTGTTGTTTCTCTAAGTGAATCTTTTAGATTGCAAACCCTCAAGGGAATCTACGGTCTGAAAGAAGTTCCCTCTTGTTCTCTTCAAATGGAAGAATTCTGACTAAAAGTGGGAAACACTGTTCTGTTTTTCCATACCCAAAGAGCAGTGAGGCCTAAATTCTGCTCTCACCAGCAGTGTGTTCAACTGGAGTAATGCGGTGGGTTACTCCATCTGTAACTGAGAGCAGAATCTGTTCCACCTACAAAATACCTGATATCCAAAACCAGGATCAGTTACTTATCTGATATCCTGGTTACAGCAGCTCAATATTCTTTCATTACAATATTTTTTAATGAAAAATGGCTTTTTGATCAAAATGAAAGTTTTTGAGGAAAATTTTTTATGGGTTGACCAAAATGAAAAATGTCGATGAAAATCTATTTTTTTGTTGTTGAAATGTTCTGGTTTTTCAAAAGCAGAAACTAAAATCTGAAAAAATGTTCAATACGACTTTTCAGGTTTTTCTTGGGTTTTCGCTTGTGAAAACAAAAATCTTTTTCTGACATTTCTTTAAGATTTGTTTTTGTTTTGCCTTCAAAAATCAAAACAAAATATGGGAAATTTTGAAAGTAATGTTCTTAAATTTTCCATGAAAAATAATTGGCATTTTTCAATCAGCTCCCGTTCTCTTGTCTCAGGAACTCTTTTTGGGACACCCACAATGTCTTCATTTTTTCATTTCATCCATCTCAGACATTTGGGTTTAATAACTTACAAACGGTTTGTCCAAGACTTATTACTAGATCTGGTACTATTAGTTCTGTTTTTACCAGAAGCCCCAGTCCAGTGGAACAAGCATTCAATGTAATGAATGCTGTTTGCAGTGAAAGGAAAAGTTTAAAAGCGCAGGTTCAATCAAAGCTGTTCTTTTGCTCAAAGTGCATGTTTAACAACACTCCTTCAAGGTTACACAATAAACTCATTCAGGGCACTAAGTTACTGGGAGGGAAAGTCCTCCACTCTGAGACATATGTCCACGTGGCTGTGGAGTTAGAAGTTAGAAGTAGGTGAGACCAGTACACATATTAAAAAAAATATGTATATTTTTTGTGATTTGGATGAGTATTTCACAATTCCAAAAAACGTCACCACAAAAGAGTCCAACTTTTATGTATATTTTTAAAATATGGTCACCTTGTCCCTCTAACATGATTGGACAGCTTAGATGTTTTTTGATCAAATGCATCCTTTGTAGAGCTGGTGGGAAAATTTCTGATGAAACCGAGTTTGATTGGAAAATGCCAGTTCATCAAACCTACAATTTTTCACAAATGTGATTTGGGTTCAAAGAACATTTGCTGAATCTCAGGAAGTTATGTTGGAAAACTACCGGGTCCCTGCCAGGTGGGACTGCCCTTGGAAACTGCCCTGGGGCTAGGGAACTCACGCTTTTGTAGTCTGCAGCTCTGGGGCAGCCCCACCATACCAGGACTTCTAGGCTCTCTGTTATGCAGCTAGGAGCCTGGAAGCCTTGGGAGACCCGGATAGAGCTCTCAGATTCTTAGCTTGGATGTCGTGGGAAAGTCCTTCCATGCAGACTGCCACAGGGCCAGGGATCCCAGGGACTCCAGACTCCCAGCAGCCCAGGAAGCCAGATGACCCAGGAGACTGGAAGCTCTGGGGTCCCCGACTATATGTCATTGTTTCCAAAACAATGGTTTGGGGGATTTCCAGTTCACAAGAAATTTTGAACAAGTTGGTTTTTGTTCTGATTCGGAACACAGTCAAATTTCCAAGTGCCAAAATTTCTCAAACTGGAAATCCCAAATTTCTGCCAGCTGTAATCCTTAGACGGTGACAGATCTGTGCTTCCCTATTTATTTTCATTGATGACTTGGGCACTAACTCTGCCATAGACTGCTTTCATCCATTGATAATTCTTGGCACTTATTTAGTACATTTCATTTGTAGTTGTTTGTCAGTTATAAAACCTATGGCAGTTAATGCCCAAATCAACAATTATCATGAGTAGGTGATGACAGGCCTACCACCAAACCTTAAGGTGCAGTTCATCAATAAACATCTAAGGTGTCTGTGACAAGACAGAACAGGCATGTTAAGCCAGATGCCCAGTTAATGTATATAAGCAGGAATGCCCTGGAGCACTAAGTGACTTCAGTGGAGTTGACTGGGGGTCTGGCAAGTTAATTCTTAGAGCCAAATTCTGTTCTCAGTGGCACCAGTGTAAGTCTGAAGTAACTCCACTGAAGTCTGAAGAGTTACTCCAGATTTATATTCTCAGACTCTGCACATGCCTAAAATTTAACTTGAGATGTTCACAAAATTTCAAACTCCCATCCCGCGTCTTAATGTGTAATGATTAAAAGCAGAGTCTGGAACATTCTTAAGTCTCAGCATTAGCTGTTCCAACATGGATCTTCAAGAGGAAACAGTGTGCAATAAAGAAGGTGAAGTCTCACCACTGAATGGTCTCTCTGTCTCCCAGAATCTCCTTGATCTCTTCCCTGCATCTCTGCTGGTGCTCTGGGTGCAGGGCCATGCAGTATAAGAGCCAGGAGATCCCAGTGCCTGTGGTATCATGACCCGCAAACATGAAAGTGTCTGCCTCGGCACGTATATCTTCATCAGGTAATCCTTCTCCATTTTCATCCTAATTTTGGAATGGACAAGTTTGCAATTAAACCTCATGCTTCAGGGTTTAAGACAATCTCTAACTATTAGAGATGAGGATAAAACCTAAGTGGTGGGCAGATTATCCCACATCTGCCACTGCAGGGTTCGTACAACTTCTCTTTTAGGAGCTGGCCACTGTCAGAGACAGGACTAGATGGGCCTCATGTCTGATCCAGTGGCAATTCCTGTGTTCTTTTGTTCATGTTCTGCATTCCCACAAGAATCCCTCAATATATATATATATATATATATATATATATATATATACCATTTGAGGAGTTGCATATCAAGAATTAATTCAATCCAACCACTTAGACACCCTGTGGCCACATTGTTGTATAATGAATTCACATAGGTGGAATCTGAGAAAGAAGAAGAACCAATTTTGCTGTGACATCAGGTAGTGCAGGTCTGGCACAGACAAACACAGTCCTTTTAGCTAGAGCTGGGTGAATAATGGATTATTCAGTTCTCTTGCAATTCTGAAAAAAGTGTTGAAAAATGATTTCAGGTTGAAGACAATCAATTTTTTTTTCAAAATTTTTGGCAAATTGAAAAGTTAAATTGAATGAAACATTTTGTTTCAACAAACTTGAAATATTTCATTTAGATTTCAACCATTTTAAAATATTTCAATTGACTTTGTTAAAAAAACAAGCACATCCAACCAAATTCACCGCCCATTTATAGCATGGTTGAATTTGACCTATTGCATCCAGACATTCCAAGCACACACAACGGCCAAAAAGATTAGAAAAGGGAATATCTGGTGAGGAAACTGAAGTCAGCAATGCTCAGGTATCTGCCAATGATTCTTAATGAAATGTGCCCATGCTATAGTTACAGTTAGTTCATGTGTGTTCTTCAAGACTCACCTTGGCACACAGAAGAATATCCAGAAAGTCCAAGTGCCTCTTCTTCTGGATCTTTTCAAGCTCTCGCTCATCCTTGAGCCACTCCTTCCTCTCCTTGATCACCTTCTCTAGGGAAAGAATGATCAACATATGATTTAGTTAAAATATCACTGTGATTCACTAGTAATTCAATCACCTGGGAAGGCAAATGGTGGAAGCCGCATCTCTAGATACATTTAAAAAAGGACCAGTCAAATCACTAGAAAAAAGAATACTTTGCACCTTTCAACAGAGAATCTCCAAGTTCTTTACATTCAGTATTCTCAGAACTCTTCTGTGAAGTATGTACGTTATGTGGTATTTCCCCCTTTTCCTGGGTAAGGAAATTTAGGGCACAGAAGTATTAAGTGATTTTGTTTCAATGTCACATGAGAAATCTGTAGCAAATGCAAGAATATATCTCAGATCTCCTGGCTCCAAGTCCTGTTATAATCACAAAACCATCTCATGGAATAGCTCCATAGATTCTCCTACCTTTTTGTTCCAGGACCACTTAGTAAGACAAGGATTATCTCATGGGTCATATTCCCATCCCATTGCAACATTCCAATCCCACCACTGCTTGGTTCTTAGCAGATTTCATTCTGCAGATTGCCAGGCAGGTCTCTGTGGACTGACTGTACCCCACGAGCGCAGTTTGAGAACCATTGGATTAAATGACATAGCACTCTAGATTTCTTTTTTCTCTGATTCCACTGGATGATTCAGTTAATGGACCAGAATGTGGGGTTCTCCTGGTTAGTGGAGATTCCCTAAAGCATAAATTTCAGGACCCAGGTAATCTGAGGAACATTCAAGGTCTCTACCACCACATACCCCCACTTTTTTAATCTAATATCTTCCAGTGTGTCTCCCCTGTCTGCCCAGAAGGCCATCCCTCTTAAGAGACCCAGTATCTTGAGCATGGCTAATGTCTCAATTGTACAGACGAAAGTCTTGAGTCAAGAGAGGAAAGAAATACCTGTATGGCGATGGACTATTCTGCAGGCATTCCGGAAGCGACGCCCATGGGGACTGAACCAGTAGATGAGGTCATTGTGGTACAGAAACGTCCTCGTTCTCTCTTGTACCATGGATGTGAGCTGTCGTATAGCTTTGAGAAATGTATTCTCGCTAAAGGGAAGACAAAAAAGGGGAGTTTAATGTGTGTTAATTAGGGCTGTTGAGCAATTAAAAAAATTAATTGCGCTGTTAAACAATAATAGAATACTATTTATATAAATATTTTTGGATGTTTTCCACTTTTTCAAATATATTGATTTCAATTACAACACAGAATACAAAGTGTCACTATTGTAGCTGGCATTGCAAGATATTTATGCGCCAGATGTGCTAAAGATTCATATGTTGCTTTATGCTTCAACCACCATTCCAGAGGACATGCGTCCATGCTGATGATGGATTCTGCTCGATAATGATCCAAAGCAGTGCGGACTGATGCATGTTCGTTTTCATCATCTGAGTCATATGCCACCAGCAGAAGGTTGATTTTCTTTTTTGGTGGTTTGGGGTCTATAGTTTCCGCATTGGAGTGTTGCTCTTTTAAGACTTCTGAAAGCATGCTCCACACTCTGTCCAGATCAGATTTTGTAAGGCACTTCAGATTCTTAAATCCTGGGTCGAGTCTTTAGAAATCTCACATTGGTACCTTCTTTGGTTTGTCAGATCTGCAGTGAAAGTGTTCTTAAAATGAACAACATGTGCTGGGTCATCATCTGAGCCTGCTATAACATGAAATATATGGCAGAATGCAGGTAAAACACAGAACAGGAGACATACATTTCTCCCCCAAGGAGTTCAGTCACAAATTTAATTAATCAATTATTTTTAACGAGCGTCATCAGCATGGAAGCATGTCCTCAACATGGAAGCATGTCCTCTGGAATGGTGGCCAAAGCATGAAGGGGCATACGAATATTTAGCAGATCTGGCATGTAAATACCTGGCAAAGTCGGCTACAAAACACCTATTCTCACTTTCAGATGACATTGTAAATAAGAAGCAGGCAGCATTATCTCCCGTAAATGTAAACAAACTTGTTTCTCTTAGCGATTGGCTGAACAAGAAGTAGGACTGAGTGGACTTGTAGGCTCTAAAGTTTTACATTGTTTTGTTTTTGAGTGCAGTTATGTAACAAAAAAAATCTACATTTGTAAGTTGCATTTTTACAATAAAGAGATTGCACTACGGTACTTGGATGAGGTGAATTGAAAAATACTATTTCTTTTGCTTATGATTTTTACGGTGCCAATATTTGTAATAAAAAATAATATAAAGTGAGCACTGTACACTTTGTATTCTCTGTTGTAATTGAAATAAATATATTTGAAAATGTAGACAAACATCCTAAATATTTAATACATTTCAATTGGTATTCTATTGTTTAACAGTGTGATTAAAACTGCAATTAATCGCAATTAATTTTTTTCAGTTAATCACGTGAGCTAACTGCTATTAATCGACAGCCCTAGTGTTAATTAAAGAGGGACATTTATGCTACCTCAGTGCAACTTCATACTTTCTCACCCCCCGTGACCACAGGAATTTGTGGATGTTCCTTGCTTTTATTGAAAATCCCAGCCTAAATTGCTTTCCCTAAGTCACCCAAGAAGTCTCTGGTACAGCCAGAAATTAAACTCAGAGCTCCTGACTTTGAGTCCAGTGCCTTAAAGGCAAAACCACTGTTCTTCTCATACAGACCTGTACTGGCAGTTGCTTTGATAACTAAAGGTGCATTTCAGCATGCTATCTAAAGCCATCAAGCCAACATCGTCAAAGATATCCAGCGACTTGTCCTTTGTTGTCCGCTTTTCCCATTTATCCTAACGTAAAAAAGAGGGGTCAGCATTCACAAAACAAATGGAATTTCTCAGATGACCAAAATCTCAGCCATCGTCCTTTAAATAATTTCTTTGTCTGTAGGATCTGAGATTCATTTGCAATCTGTACAACATTAGGGGTATGGTGTAGAAGTGAAGAAACAGAGGATTTGGGGTTGAATTAGAGCATATCTTTTAGAAAGACATCGAGTCTTGATTTAAAGATTCCAAACAAGGATGAATTAAACAATTCCTTACTAATCGGTTTCAATAGTTGATTATGACTCACTCTTTCATGTATGCAGTGTAGTTGTAGCCACGTCAGTCCGAGGATATTAATGAGACAATGTAGATGAGGTTGGGTATTTAAGAAATTACCATAAAAGATTGAGACAAGGTGGGTGAGGTCATATCTTTGATTGGACGAACTTGTGTTGGTGAGAGAGCTTGTCGGTCCAACCAAGGTTGGGTCAGTTCACCCACCTTGTTTTGGATATTTACACTCAACTTGTGCAGCGACAAAGTTAAGCGAATTCCATGCCATACGTTATTCATAATACTTTATTCTTGTTTAGAGAGGCCGTGTCTACACTAACATTATGTCTGCAAAACTTTTGCCACTCAGGGGTGTGAAAAAACACCCCCTTGAGCGGTATCAGCTTTTCCAGCATATGCACTTGTGTGCACAGCGCTATACCGGTGGGAGACGCTCTCCCGATGACACAGCTACCGCCGCTCGTTGAGCTGGTTTTATTCTGTTGACAGAACAGCTCTATCCTATTGGCATGACACGGCTACCCGGGCGATCTTACAGCGGCACAGCTGTATCGGTGCAACTGTGCCACTGTAAGCTTGTAAGTGGAGACATGGCCAGAGACATGGTAAGTGAGGAATATCTTTTATAGGACTAACTTCTTGTTGGTATTTCAAACACATTGGCAAGAAAAAGTTTATGAATAGATGTACAGCCCAGCATATTGCTATGGTCGTTCGGCCACATGAAGCAGAAGGAACATCTGGAAGTTGGTGAATCGGGGGTGGGGGTGGCGGGGTTGCCATACTGAATTTACATTGACTTTCTTAGCAGATCATGTATGGAAGCCTTTCATCTAGTGGGGACTAGGTTCACACTTGGCTACTGTAACAGTGCTGTTTAGGTGAGTTAGTTAAATAAAAGACAGCGGTGATTAGATCTGGAGGCAGAGGCTGATGACTAAAAACATATTAGGCCTGATTCTCCCTTTGCATACACCACTGTAATTCCACTGATGCCAATGGGCTTACTACTGATTTATACTAGGGTAGAGGAGAAGAGAATCTGGGCCTTTGTTACACACAGGCTATAGAATGGGCTGAAGAATTACTCTAGTTCGAATCACAATTCAGTTTCAAGCAGCAATGTTAACAGGAGCCCCCCGGTGCTCCTCTTGATGCCACTGACCCAAGGGTAAGAAGACAGGGTTAGGAATATAGTATACTAGGCCACTGTTACATGGAGTCTACGGCCATCCCTGAGACTGGCCCACATTGGTAGCCAGATGTGATTTATTTCTAGGATGGAAATGGTGAGGAACATCTCACGCCAGCTTGTCTCACTGTATCGAATGAGCATAAAGTGCAGCTTGACAGGCCTTATGTTTCAGTGCGGGAAGGGGAAGGTTCAGAACGACGACAGTAGCAGAGGGTTACCTACCAACATCACTTTGGTGGAATCCGCCATCAGCGACACATAAGATTTCAAAATATCATTATGAAATGCAGGAGTCAGCAGTCTACGGTGCTGGAACCACTTTGGTCCATGTAAAACGATTAATCCTTTCCCTGAGGA